AGCTTCTGGAGCCCTCATGATGCGCTCTTGGGGTCCCTCTTGGGCTCTTGGGGCGCTCTTGGGGCCCTCTTGGAAGCCTTGGGTGCCCTCTTTGGGCTATCCTGGAGGCCTCTGGGGCCCTCCTGGTGCTCTCTTGGGGCCCTCTTTGGGCGCTCTTGGGGCCCTCTTGAGGCCATATTTGATGCGTTGAAGGCCTTCTTGGGGCAATCGATCATATAAGGAGGGGGGTCCTGAAGTCACCCCCCCCCCCGTCGGGACCCGAAAATGTGCCTCTTGGGGTCCTCTTGGGCCGCTCTTGGGGCGGTCTTGAGCGCTCTTGGGGCGGTATTGGGGCCCTCCTGGGCCCCTCTTGGGGCCCTCTTGGGCCATCATGGAGCCATCTTGAGGCCTCAGGGGCCCATCGAACGCGAAAAGGCGATGATGCAGAAAACTGTGAAAAAAACACAAGGGATTTCAAAGAGTTTGGCCTCTTGATGGGTTCCTTGGAGGGCTCGACAGGCACTTGGAGCCGTCCTGGGGCGGTCTCGAGAGCTCTTGGATGCATGTTGAAAGCTATATTGAACCATCTTGGGCTATCTTGCAAGATATTGGAGACCATCTGAGGCTCTTGGAGGCCCTCTTGCAGCCATATTGGGCCATCTTGGGCGCTCCAATTCCTCGCGAAACCCTCCCTCCAGGTCCAGGGTAGGGGGTAGGGGGAGGGGAAGCCCCCTCCCCGAAGGGGAAGGAGAGGGTTTAGCAGAACGAGCTCGTTAGACCACTCACGCCCTAAAGAGCTGGTGGGATTTACTCGGGCTGTCCCAAGGCCTTCTTTGCATGTTCAGCATGTTCGCTGCCATGTTCAACCGTCGCAGTGCCATGTTGGAGCCCTCTTGGCGCGTATTGAGCCGCGGGAAACCCGAATAAGTTGCAATGGCTGAAATCTTCGGAGCGTGCATGTTTGTTTTCCTGATCGGGCATTGAGGTTCCCTGGGGGGCCCCCGGGGCCGTCATGGGGACAGAGCCTCGGAGAAAGGGAGGCCGTGCACGCGCCGGGGCGCTGATAGAGAGGGGGGGGTTCTTGGAATATCACATAAGCTCATCCAGACAGCACAAGGCATTCGAGCACGCCTCAAAATGCCAACACGCGCAATGGCGGGTAAGTTCTTCTTCATGGAGAATTCAAGTTGCGCGATCCGCAAGTATTTACAGCCTTCGGCACATGCCGCCGCAGTGCCTGGGTTTGGGTCACAATCCACAAGGGCGCATTCTTGGGGCCACTTGAGCGCTTCTTGGGGCACCTCCTGGAGCTGCCCGAGCCCCTTTTGGGCAATCTCTGGGGACGTGTTGGGGGCTCCGCGAAACCTCATGGGAGCTGTTTGGCGCCGAGAGTTCCCAATGTCACTTCGGGTCCCACGTTTTTCCCCTTGTTGCACCCGCAGCGGAGACTCGCCTGGGAGATTCGAGGATATGGGGTCCGAGCCCTTTGGGAATCCTTGAGCATGAGCACTGAGGACTACATGGAGACTTCATGGGACTGAATACTGAGAACTACATCGTGCCTCGGGGTACGGTGGCGGTTCGAAACGACGGCCGCAAGCAACTCTTGCCAAGCGTGAGTTGGGCCGTGTTGGTAGAGCGCTACGCCTGCCCACAGAAGGAGCAGGAGTACAAGCGCGTGCTCCAGATCATCGCCGCTTTAGCAGCGAAGCCAGAAACCGTAGTCGTCATCATCAGCACCATCCCCATCGCCATCGTCGTCGTCATCGTCATCGTCGTCGTGGTGCACCCCCCGACCCCTCGAGCACCAAGGCTCCCTGGCCTTCGGGAGCCCCCCTCGTCGCCGCGGCCGGACGCGGCGACAGAGACGGGTGTCTTTTGACTCTGGGAAAAATCCGGGGACCCCTTTTGGACGTTTCTGGGTCGGGGGGTGCACGACGACGCAGGCGAGGACGCCGTCGCCGCCGCCGCCGCCGTCGTCGTCGTCGTCGTCGTCTTCGCCGCCGTCGTCGTGGCGCGCCCCCCGACCCTTCGACCACCGAGGCTTTCTGGCCTTCGTGGGCCCCCCTCGTCGCCGCGGCCGGACGCGGTGACAGGGGCTGGTGCTGCTTGGCCCTGGGAAGCGTCCCGAAACCCGTTTGGGGCGATTTTTGGGTCGGGAGGGAACGACGACGACGACGGCAACGACGCCGTCGCCGCCGCCGCCGCCGCCGCCGCCGCCGCCGCGCGTCGTCGTCGTCGTCGTCGTCGTCGTCGTCGTCGTCGTCGTCGTCGTCGTCGTCGTGGTGCACCCCCCGACCCCTCGAGCACCGAGGCTTTGTAGCCTTCGGGGGCCCCCCTCGTCGCCGCGGCCGGACGCGGCGACAGAAGCTGGTGCCTTTTGACCCTGGGAAGGGTCCGGAGCCTTGTTCGGGACGGATCTTGGGTCGGGGGGTGCACGACGACGACGACGGCGACGACGCCGTCGCAGCCGCCGCCGCCGCCGTCGCCGCCGCCGCCGCCGCCGCCACCGCCGCCGCCG